GAAGTATAGTAGTAGTCTATAAATGTGATGGGGGAGGGGAATTAGAGATTCATTCAAGCAAGTAGTTAGAATAGTGAGTGAGAGCCACACCTCTCAAAAGCCTTGGGCTATTGTTCTTTACATTTCTGTTTAGATACTCAATACATACACAGTTGCTTGTTCATCCTGTGAATACAGAGTGATAATTACATAAAACTCAGCCTCCTGATTTCCAATACATAGTTTTGGTCTAACACTTTCACTACTCAGCTGGTTGCAGATCTACAACAGGAACTTCCATCAGTTGAGATGCAGCAAGGGAAATCCACCTGTAACAGCAACAGTATCTGTTTCAACAGATGAGAACTTAAGCAGCAACACAAGTCCATAGCAGCAGCAGGATCAGGGATCCTATCAACTGGTATCAAGAGTATCGATCTTAGGGCAATGGCAACAAATTTCAGCAAGGAAATGGAGGAGAGATGGGGCTCAATATTGAATCAGTTGGAAAAGATGCCAAGACGTTGAGAAGGAGACCGAGAAGATAAGTCAGGATTGGATTACAAGGGCGACTCATAATTTCCATATTCTACAGCCATAATACTGAGTGGTGGATCTCTAGAGTGGAGAAGATTTTCTCCAGACATCATGCAGAGAAGATAGCGGCTGCAACAACGTATTTTGACGTCGAAGCATAGGATTGGTTTCAGGGTATAGATCGATGCCGGCCAGTACGAACTTGGGATGAATTGAAGTGTTTGATGTGAGATCAATTTCCCAGGAAGGAGGTCGCCATGGTTGAGGAATTTCTAGCTCGTTAATAGTCAGGGAGAGGAAAGGGTGAGGATCAATTAGAGGTTTTAGAAGAGGAAGAAAAGAATGAGGTTGGTGAATTGATTAAGCTATCACTCCATTATGGGATAGGACTAACCACATCAAAAACCATGAAAATTGAGTAGTCGATTTTGGGGAAGTGGTGGTCCAAATTGAAGGTGGAGCGACATACATTTTTATTTCGACTTGTCGAGTTAAACTAGGGGTGGACGTGGGTCGGTTCAGTTCTAAAGAGAATCGAACCGAACCAAACTTTTCGGGTATCTAGTAAATGGAACCGTCGGGTCCAAATATAATTATGGAACTGTTCGGGTTCGGTTCCGTTCGGTTCGATTCGGTTCGGTACTATAATTAAATTTTTTAACATTTATAACAACATTATATAGATACAACTAATGATACATTCAATGGTTTTGGAATGTCAGAGACTAGTAAACTACCTTATTCAAATGATCGTTACGATCAAAGTTTCGATCAACAGAGGTCACAGCTTCGATCGGAGGTCACAATGTCGGCCAACGATTGTATAGGTTTTGGAATATTAGCGAGGCTGCAAGAGTGAGTGCGAGAGTCGAGACAACGTTATGCACTTTAATGTAGGTGTTTAGAGTTATTTAGGGATTTGATCTTGTTTGACTAAGAAATGAAACAATAAAATGGTTAATTGGGCCAAATATTAAAAAATTAGAATTGAAACAAATTATTGGACCAAAAATTTGGATTTAGAAATCGTTAATTTGTTAATTTTTTTAGAAAAAATTAAAATTAAAATAATTTGATTTAATCAATATAAAAAAAAATTAGAAAGATTCGATTCTTGGTCTAGAACCGAGAACCGAACTGTACCTGTCGGTTCTCAATTCAGATACCTGTTCGGGTATTTAATTTGACAAGAACCGTCGGGTTCGGTTCGGTTCCGGTTCGGGTTCGGGTTCGGGAGATTTGCCCAACCCTAAGTTAAACAATGAGACTATTTGTGGGTAGGGACAATTGGCTATGGAGTTGCCTTTAATACTATATTTGTGATAGTTGCTTGACTAAGTAATTCCATCCACTTCAAAAGGTTGAAACATCCCCATTTCGCGGTGACCATGTCTGAAGTCATTGCAAAAGAAATTTTGGGGTATGACGAAGTTACCAGCAACATCTTCCACCTTGAGGACAGTGGAATTCGAGGGGAGTAATGATAGACCCCGGATTAAGTTCAAATATGCTAGAAGAATAAGTGGCAATCTGTTATTATTTTTAGTTAGTACTTGGCTATCATTAGGGGGGAAGGGTAGTAAGCCAGGAGTTGTCTATAAATGTGATGGGGAAGAGAAATTAGAGATTCATTCAAGCAAGTAGTGAGAATAGTGAAGAGAGCCAGGCCTCTCGAATGCCTTGGGCTATTATTCTTTACATTTCTGTTTAGATACTCAATGCATAAACGGTTTGCTTGTTCATCCAGCGAATAAAGAATGATAATTACATAGAACTCAGCCTACTGATTTCTAATAAATAGTTGTGGCCCAACACTTTCACTACTAAGCTGGTTTGCAGATCTACAACAGGAAGTTCCATCAGTTGAGCGGTAACAAGGGAATCCACCTGTAACAGCAGCAGTGTCCATTTCATCGGTGAATTAGCAGCTTCAGCCGTGGTCTCAAAACATAAACAGATCAGAACTTAAGCACAACATAAGTCTGCAGCAGCAGCAGCAAGATTGGGGATCTTATCATAATTCTAACATTTATCAAGTGCCGAATTGCTCACCACTCTCATCGTGCCCAACTCGAACTAAAAACTTACAGAACTAGTGGTCACACTGTTATAACACTAAGGTCTTGTAAGCAAATTATCAACGTTCATACAGAACCACCTATAATCATCTAGAAAAATTGCTTTCTCAATTTTGGCTTCATTGATCCTTATGAGAATCATAGGTTTCTCTCAATTAGCACATTAATATACTAAATGCTTCCTCCGTTGTGACGTTTCAGTTTTAGCTTCACAAACAGAACAGTCAGTTGCTCCTAACCAATGAAGTCTTCTGCACATCCTACCATGGAATTCTAGAACTTCAGTTCAGACTCACTGTATTGAGATCAAGATCTCTTGCTAACCCCTCTTCTAACCCATTGCACTTAGATAGGCATCAACGCAGGATTCCGAAGGTTTCAAGAGCTCATTGACTAGGATGGACTCACCCATGGGTAAAGTTAAGAGTAAAGATGGAATGAAGGACAAAATTCAAGAAGATTTGAATGGTATGGGGCTTGGGGGTTGCACGAGCCATGTGGAAGCCTATCCACAGAATGTGCAATGTATGATGACTAAGTACAGGATAAGGTCGCACAAGATGTAGATTCACTCTTATTCTATGTTTGGCAAGGGCAAAAAATTAAATCACTTTTTATCCCCATAATTCGTGGCCCCACAAGTACCCACTTATCCACCATTTCTATTTGTTTATAAACACTTGCCAAACATTCTCAGTCTTTAAATCATGCTCCCCGATTATAGTGGGGCAAGTTACTCTTTTATATTAGTTTTTTGCTTTTACATTTGGCCCCACGGGTCATCGTAATTTTTACCTATGTTCTTTTTATTTCTTAATATGAATATCCCCTATGTCATTTTAATTAAAACTATAAAAAAAATTACTGAACATTTGGACTGATGTGAGAAAATCGACAACTTCACTAATCCTCAATAATACGTCCAAACTATTCAAGCAATTTAAAATACAGTCAAATGAGCTAATTACAGGAACAAAAAGTAGGACCGCAAAATTAACTAAATAAGAAACATCTAATTTCTGAAAAAATAATAGGATGGTTGCTTGACCATTAATTCGTCGGCCCCATACGTACCAACTTATCCACCGTTTCTTTTTGTTTATAAACACTTGACAAATATATTCTGAGTCTTTTACGTCATGCTTCCAAGTCATAGTGGGGCAAGTTGATCCTTTCTATTAGTTTTCGTTTTCACATTTGTCTCCATGGGTCACTTTTGGGCCATGATTTTCCTTCTTGTTTTCTCTTTTGAGTAACCTTCGAACCCATGGGTCATCGTAATTTTTACCTAAATTCTTTTTAATATAAATAGCCACCAAGTAATTAAAAAAAAAAAAAAATAATAAATACCAAACATTTGGACAGATAAGCGAGAAATTTGAGAACTTCACTAATCCTCAATAATATGTCCAGCATTGGATGGTTTTATTCAAACAATTTAAAATGCAATCAAATGAGCTAATTACGGGAACAAGAAGTAGGACCGCAAAATTAACTAAATAAGAAGCACCTAATTTCCACCGGGGGGGAGGGAAGAGTATGGTTGCTTGAACCTCGAGAAATAGGTGCCATTCATCTAAACACTCCCCCTATTGACCAAAAAATAGGTTTTTGACCAAACTTGCACCAGAACTTGCCTTGGGCCTTAGAATGACCCTTAAAGGCCACATCATTCCCACTCTTTGAGGGCTGCAACACCCTGGTGTGTATTGTTGAATATCTAAATAGGATTATTCTCGCTTTATTAGGGACCGAACAAAAATAATTTGAATAAGCTGAAAAGTGTTAAATCTTTAGTTGTTGCAGAAGTAATTTATCAGTAAAAATAAGCTTCCTGGTTGTCAATAAAGATTACTTGTGAAAGACACCTATAAAATCATGTCATGTTGCTCACTGCAGTATGAATTTTAGTCCGAAGAATGAAAAGGGCGAAACAGGAACCTAAATTTCAAATCTAAATATTTAAAAGAACAAGAATGCAAGTAAAATGGAAGAAAATGTATTTCAAAGCTATGCTGTCATTAATTATTTTTGCATACCCATTTACTTCGTTTTTTCTTAAAAGATCCAAACACTAGAAAATGTTTTCCTAACTCAAATCAAAGATCTAAACACAGCCATACTGTCTCAGCGACTGTTTAGATTTTTTACCCATTTAACTTCTTTCCTTGGAGCATAATAAATCAGATTCTGAATATGACTTCTCTAATTTCAGTATATGCTAATGTAACAATATTATGTGCATATTTAGAATAAAAACAGTCAATTTAGGAGAACAATCGCATGAATAATGCCCCCCAACTGAACAAAGTACAAAATAATGTTAAATCACTTTCACAAGCAACATAAATGCTTTGTCTGTCACACTAAAAAGTACACAAAGAAACCTCAATATCCAAAAAAAAAAAAAAAATGTTGTTTACAAATAAAAACATTGTATAATAATGACTAGAAAAAGAAAAGAAACTCAAGTATCAAAAGTGTGAAATGAACAAGTGTGCATCAGGACATAAATCTATAAATTCCAGATTTCACTGAAAAAGAAAAATAATCAATTGTGTATTGACTTGATTATAGGTTTTCAAATCTTAATCTAACATCTACGATCAGGCAACAAAGGAGAAGCTAAACATACCAAGGGTATGTCGAATGCAGCAAAATTGCCAACAGGTTTATTTGCAACAAAGACCATGCGGATATTTGACAGGTAGATTGTTCCCTTTGCTTTAACATGATCCCCATGTGTGCTGAGAGCAGAGAACTTGACTGTTAGTCTCAAATTAAGAAAAAGACCATCAATTAATCACTTAAAGAAGGCAAACTGGAATGAAACTTTAGAATGCATAGCAAAAATGGTTATATTGTTGTATTTCAATTACAATATCTGATGTCCAAAGGCCTGAATGCCTTATTTTTTGTTTTATTTTATTTATTTATCTGTTTTATTTTTTTTCGCCACAAAAATTAATAAACAGCACCGGGGAGCCAATCATCTGCACATAGACAACGGGAAAGAACATGAACTCCTGATTATTTAATTTCAAATAATATCGGAAAATTAAATCAATCGTGCAGAATAAACTTCCAAAAAGACACAGACTTCCAATGACTTAATCCATGGTTTAACATCTGCCCTCTCGTACAAGTGTCAATCCGTCCAATACCATACCGAGAAGATTGCAGCATCAGAAGCTAGCTTTACCAACATAATGCCTCTAATTCTTTTAACCATATAAATAATCAATATTTTGTTGTTTTATTGTTCATTCAGCTAATAAAATAAGCAATTGATGAAATAGAATTCCACGACGATTAAACCCAAAATTTATGATTCCTGCATAATACCAATTAATAATAGAAAAAAAAAAAATTTCTCCTATGAACTTGAAATATTTTCTAGGATTATGTTTACCCATCAGACCAACATCGTTAGTACTAAGAATTACAAACGAGATGCAATTGCTAACCCCGGGATCTTGTCAATTTCGAACTCGACGCCATCTCTGGCCAGCACGAACATTTCGTTGACAAAAGGCACGGGCATGCCATTAGGAAAAAGCTGAGGATTCAAAGCCATCAGGAGCGTTTCGCCGTTGATCAGTTTGAAGAATATCACTCGCAGAGAAGGTGAAAACTGGAGACGATCAATCGCTATATAATCGAATATCATACGCATTCTACGACATTCTAGATGTTGGATTTGGGAACTTGCCCGCAACCTACTGCCATTGGGTAAAAAAAGTGTAATTAGAACAAATCCCAACCTTAGAGTGATATTATGTAAAATGTCCACAAATTTCATTTTTTTATATTTTCTCCCTTATTTCAACTTTTCACTATAAAAAACGTCATTTTAACAAATTTTTAATGTAAAATGATCAAAATATCCTCAATTTTTTAAAAAAATAAAGAATAAATTACAATCTTACTCTTAAATATTTAAAAAAGTACAAGTAAGTTCAAATAATTATTAAAAAACCTAATAACACAAACGTATCTACATTTGGCTTATAGTGTGCAAAAAGTCCATAAGTTTTAAATTGATAAAAATGATATTTTCCGCAATGAAACGTAAAAATAGGATGAAAATGTAAAAAAATAAAAACGTAAGGACGTTTTCCGCAAGAAGTGTCAAACGTAGAGATTTTTTTTTGTTATTAGGCTTTATTAAAATATTAAAAGTAACAAAAAAAAAAAAATCTCTCCCCTCCTCTTCTTCAAATGGGCTAGCTACTTTAGAAGTAAAAAAACTTCAGTAAATCACCACTCAAACAACTGGACCATCATACCACCGAAAAGTTCTTACTTCCCTCTACACATACTTCCCAACATCTAAATTTGATACTTTCATGTCAATAGATTTGTTTGAAATTGCAAGCCAAAATACGAAACTCGTGAATGTAAATATTGACGGCATCAATTGTTATGGAGAGACTCATATCATTTCCAACATACCAATCGATTATACTTACTAGAGCGCCTCTTTTCATGGTCTTAAAATATCAATAAATGGTTTTGCAGTATAGAAGTTCGGCAGTTTGGGAGATGGTTTGTCGGAGTTTTTTTTACTTCTACTTGACAATCCCATTTGGGGAGAGAGAGATTTTTTTGTTATTTTTAATATTTCAATAAGGTCTAACAGTAAAAAAATATCCATACGTTTGACACTTCTTGCGAAAAACGTTCCTACGGATCAATTTTTTTGCATTTTCATTCTTATTTTCACGTTTCATTGCGGAAAACGTCATTTTCACCAATTTGAAACGTAGGGACGTTTTGCATACTATAAGCCAAACTAGGGATGTTTTGTGCTTTAATAATTATTTGAATTGATTGTACTTTTTAAAACATTTACGAGTAAAATTGTAATTTATTCTTTATTTTTCTTTTTTTATTTTATTTAAATGGGAGGGTATTTTGATCATTTTACATTAAAAATAGTGAAAAAGACCTTTTCTACAATGGAACATTGAAATAAGGACGAAAATGCTAAAAAATGAAAAGTATGGATGTTTTGCACGATAACATTGAAAGGCATGGACCTTTTATTCTAATTACCCTAAACAAATTCAATTTGTCAGTCAACTTTAATTTGTTCCAAGTTAGTTAATCAAATTGAAATTTTATTCAATTTGATCATTAAATTTTAATTTGTTTTCATAATAATTTGGTAACTTAAAACATAAACCAATTTAATAACAATCGAACGATTAGAAAATTGTTCTCTGACCATCCTACCAATGGTTAATCTCATTTGCAAGATTTTCATAAGAATTTTTTTTGACCATCATGCCAATGGCTAATCTTAATTTTTTATTAATTATATCGTTATGTTTTGATAATAAAAAAAATCAATTTCATTTTTTGGAAAATACCCATAATCTTTTGCTTTTAGCCATATACAATCTTGGAGTTAAGTCAAATAAGGTAAAATTGAATCATGAAGACTACAAAAAAGTTTCCAAACAAAATCAAATTTATCGTTCAACAAACCTTATCACAACAAAGTGCATGTGGAAATGTCATTTGGGGTACAAGATGTCAGAGTGACCAAGTCGGTAAAGCACGATAATAAATTGTTTCAATATCTCTGGACCCTCAACGTTACCATTGGTGATTAGACCTCCCATCGTAGAACGAATGAAATCATGATGGTTCACAGTCACATTGCCATTATATCAGATGCCCAAACCTTCTCGTTCCACTGAGAGGATCTTCTTTCTTTGTGTTGCTTGAAAATGAAAAAAGACTTTTTTGTAAACTTTTTTTCTGGAAAACTATGTTTAATTTTCGAAGGATCTTCTTGCATTATCACGTCGTACAATATACAAGATACAACATGTTGCAAAATCATACTGCAAAACTAATAGATATTTCCACCTTATTTCAGCATTAATCAATGGTAGAAATCACTCTCGATTTCTCAAAAATGGGGTAGGGGCATTGCGGGTTTAGGTGGAGGTGGAGTTGGAGATAGGATTATTGAGAGGTTTAGGTGGGGTCGAACAATAGTGATGTAGGTTTGGAGGTGGTTGTTACTATATCAGTTGGGTGAGCTTGTTTAAGGAAGATGAAATATTTATTTTTTCTAAATTATTCTATTAAATCTTAATATATATTCTATTATTTTTAGTGTGATGTATTTGTACTTTTAAAAAAGTTATAAGACATCATTTACAATTTTCTTTATCTTTTATAACTTTCTTTTATTTTTATTTATTTAAAGAGAATGAAAAAATTCATCATTCTAGAGTTTAGTGTTTAAGGTTTAGAGTTGAGGGGTTTTTTTTTTTTTTTTTAGCAAAGACATGCATACATTCTTAATGAGTTTTTAACCTCTACTTAGGAAAGTCGATGGTGGTTTAAGGTGTTTGGTGAAATTCTGCAAGTGTACGGGATCGTTACTAAGTAATACGAGATGAGAAACGTATATCATCTCGTGAGAAATAAAATACAATTGAGTGTACTAATTTTTAATTGATGTAGTAGGAGTAGAAAGTAGTACAGAACTTGTATGAGGAGCTCCTGTGCTAATAACTGGCGAAATTGTGCTCACTATAGAAGTGACTGGTAGAGCTATACAATGAACTTGAACATGTGCAGTAGTAACAACTACTGTGATCAACAACAGCCACTGGGGATAATAGCGAAAGGGTCTAACTGAGTCTGGATGCCCGAAATACTCCCAGAATATTGTCTCTTCCAATCTCTACAACTGGAACCCATATCTTAGGATGGTAAACAAAAATCTCTTTCCATTCACCCTTGTCCTTACCTGGGTCTCTAGCAGGCCTAGGAACAGTTGGAAAATTAGGGTAGCAGGTTGTGGTACAGTTTGTGATCTAGTTATACAATAGTCATCAATGTGCCCAAAATATCTGGAGCGAAGACAATAAACGAGCTTCTTGTCATATAAGACAGTTTGCTAGTAGCAACCACGCCACTCTCTCTTAATCTAAATTCTATCAGGGAGTTTATATTCTAAGTCAACCTCAATGTATACCTATACCTCACTAGACCAACGTACATTAGATGTCGCCTCATCGATGCGAAGTGGAACTCCAATAAAGTTGGCTAAGGTAAATAAACTACTCTTCGCTTGAAAATGATTAGGCAAAAGATGAATCCCAGACGGAGGCAATAGAGGTCTCAAGCTGAGGGCTAAAAACAGGTGTCCATTTGATAACTCGCATTGGACATCAATCAATATACCAAAAGGGTTTGAGGAATAATCATGAATAGTCATCCTCAAGTGCCAAGTGTATCAAAATATGGCTAGCATCTATAAAACCAATCATATAATCATTATGAAAAACAAAATTTTGAAAACTATCGCATACCTTGATTATAGAATGCTTGCTATACAAGAATTTACCTATAGGTGTGAACTTGTATGGCTCAGATAGGAGGCACTCATCTTCCTCCACAATAAAAGAAATAATAGGCTCACCCATATGCATGAAAGGTTCTTTAGATACGAATATGTGATCAGTGGAGTCCTTAAGGGACCGAAAGATAGGTGCAAAAGACTTTTTTTGGCTTTGCTCGACTTGAGAGACAACAGGTTCGCCAAAAAGGATAGCAGCATATGATTTCTTACCTTGAACCTATGTAGGATGGACATCTGTAGGCAAAGAACATGTGTCTGTAGTCTAGAAGTAGCAAGAGATGTGGTATGCTACCTATATGCCGGTAGTCTACGCCTTAGTGGTGCTTGAGGACCGCATGTGGCCCGAGGTAGACTTTGCTGATTTCTTGTAGGCAGGCGTAGAGTCTTCTGTTAAGATGGAGGAGTAAGCGCCTGAGTGTCATGAGGGCAGTAGTAGTACCACTTTCGTGAAAAACCTGTGAAATCACATTTTCCAAAGTTAATAGCAACCAAATTGGGAGCTAAATTCATCAATCCAGGGTTTTTTTGCATGTTCTAAGATCAATGGTCGTGTCCCCGCTTTATGACACTGTCCAAAACTTCGAAATGCTACATTGGTTTATGTGCTAAAGGGCTTGATTCCTTTTGCAACACTGTCGATAAAATTGGGTTAAACGAAGGTAATCTAATGCGTCGCATCATTTTTTTCTGTCCACAAAAACAAGAATATCATTAGAGGAATCATGAATGTGACCATAGTGAACGTACTGTCCCAAATACTTCCATCCCTAGAACCTCTGTCTAACCTCCTCTCTTGATCTCATAGGTATTTGAAAATGTTCCTAAAGTGCTGTCATACCTGATTGGAAATACTGTTGCCAGTAAAAATATAACTAATGGTCTCAATCTAAGAACAGCATTGACATCGAGAAGCCAACTGACACCCAATCCTCTTATGAATAACCACATCTGCTGGAATGAGATCCTGCCATAATCTTCAGTAGAAGAATGAGATAGTAGTAGGTAAGATGGAGCTTCATAGTAATAGATATGAGTCTTGAGATTGGTGAACTAAACGAACTATTTGCCATGCTGATTGGTAGCAAAGCTACCATCCGATTTAGGGTTTAGGGCTTAGGATTTATGGTTCAGGGTTAAGGGTTTGTTTTAGTTGAAGGAGGGCGGTACCTCTATTAATTTTATTAATACGCCCTCACTTTATGGCGAGGGAATATTGTAGTTACATGTGGAACATTGTAAGCAATAAATGAGGAATTACTTCTTCATTCACAACGAAAGCAAATGATAAGGAAAAAATTTAAAGCGGTAAACGAGGAAGTACTACTTCCCTTACAATAAGCACTAAAACAACTAAAGAATAAAA